TGTCATAGGGCAACATGTGTACTAACTGTTAAATGAGAAACTATTTTGTTCTGTAAGCCTTCATCTAAAGTGAGAATAGCACAATTGGAAGAGCGTAGTTGATGTCACTGAACTGTTCATGTAGAAATTTTTGAAATGGTGTATCTTTGGCTATGTATATTTTCACCAAAAAAAAGAAAGGTTGAGAATTTAGAGGGTTGACATGTTCTGGGGTTGTTAACCAATGTCATAAAACAGTATGTGTACTGCTGTTTCATGAGAAACTATTTGTTCTGTAAACCTTCCCCTGAAGTACAATAAAAAAAAAAAAGATAAATATGATGAAATATTAGTAATTGTAAAGTCTAGATAGTAGGTATATATGGGAGTTATTATATTCTGTTTTCCTTTTTGTATGTTTGAGATTTTCCAATCTTTGATAATTAAAGAAACCTAAACAAATGAAGGAGCCATGGTGGTGCGGTGGTTAAGAACTCGGCTGCTAACCAAAAAGTCAGCAGTTCAAATCCACCGGCCACTCATTGGAAACCCTGTGGGGTAGTTCTGTTCTGTCCTATGGGGTTGCTGTGAGTCGGAATCAGCTCGACGGCAACGGGTTTAAGCAAATGAAAGGTTATTATTAACTCCTGGTGGGGAGTTGGGTAAGAAAGAGAATGTGAACATAATTTATTACCTAATTCCCTAGTAAATTACGTTTATATAAACATCATAATGTAACCATTGAGTATTGATTTCAAAATTGATAGGATGGGAGAAGTTGCAGGAGGAGGAGGATTTGGGTTTAAGAGACCTAAATTTTTAAGTACCATAATATAAAATAGGAGAAAATGGATAAATCAAGAAAAGGAAATATAAACATAACTCCAGATAAAACAACTTAAAGAGTAGAAAATATTTACCTCTGGGGAACAAGGTCCCTGGGGAACATGACTGGTGGAAAAGGGAGGGGTCAAGTAGGGCATTACTATTTTTTATTACGTCAGAGAAGGATTAGGAGACACAAAGAAAATCACGCATAATCTTACTTCTCAGAGACTTCCCTTTTAGTACTATGTGGGTTTTGAAATTATGTACATTAATTATTTTGATACAAATAAATTAATTTCTAAATAATGTCAATAGTTACTTATTATTATATCAATTAAATATTTCACATTTCTAAAAGAGTGTTTGATATCCAGTAAAACCTGTGAAAGCTGGAGCCTGTGTAAGGCAGAAACCTATCAGAGAAGGAAAATGCAAATACAGTGAAACCTGTGAGAGCTGGAACTCGCTGGGTCTGCCTTGTTTTTCCAGGTCTCGCAAGCTTTCCAGGCAAGAAAGGCAGTCCCGTTGAGTTCCAGCTCTCACAGGTTTTACTGTAATTAATACATGACCAAATAAATCAATCTGCCCTAAAATTATGTGAGTAAAGGTTTTGAAAACTCAAATATCAGAAAAGATCACTTTATGAACCACATGATAATGCAGCATCATGGTGAAAATGCACTGTGAGAAACAGAGCTCTAGTTGTTACCCGTGGGCATGCAATTGCTGTTAGTAGCTTGATCCTTAATAAGGATTTTCATATTTTATCAATTCCTTACTTTCTTTACACTCCTTTACTAGAATTTATGTTTGCATTTCCCTTTGCTTATACTCACTAGAGATTGTACAACTCATAGTTTATCTTTCATACTATTTATATCTTCTATCTCTATTTTTATGTCAAATTTTAACTCCAAAATACTGATAATTCCTTTAAATCTGGTCTTAACTATAGTTTATTGGCTGTCACGTTTTACTAAACTGAATAAATTTCAGTAGCTATCCTCGTGTATTTTCAGCCCTTAACTCATTTCTGTTAAATTTGTGTTGTAGATCTAGTACACACAGAGGGGCGGCTTCAAAATGAAGAAATTGCGGTAAGTACATATGCTTTGTAGAGTTAAACATTATCTTTAACCAGCACAATGTATTTAAATTTTAAACGTATCTTCATAGTCATAGAGTTAATAATATAATATTGTAGTTTCTGTACCTGATCAACCCAAAGAGAAAGTTATTGTCAAGATATTGAAATCCAAATATATTATTTATAAATTAGGCTCTTATCTGTCATAGAGAGAATGACAGCAACAGGAATACAGAATTCACTTATGTGTTTTATTTTGAAGTATTTATTTGCTTTGGCTTTCTTTCATTTGATTCTGTAGGCCTTTTAGAGTAGGAATCAGAAAAGGTGGAGATGCCAAAATTGGATGTTAATTTAAGCATGAGAGGACAAGAGAGATTCAAATAGGGGAACTGGAACATAGGATCAGCAACTAATAAGCCAAAGAGAGATGAGGTGGAAAGAGAACCAGTATTTTCTGACAACATTCCATTGGGCTTTGCCTGTCAAGTGGAGTGGGTGTCTATTGACAAGGAAGCTGCCGCGTCATCAGGAGTTTCTCCGTTTCTGCTAGTTTTTCAGGCCCTGATTTTTAGACAAAAACAAACAAAAAATTAAAGCAACTGAATGTGGATTTTTGTAGGTGGTAGTGTTTGTTTAAGGTTCTGTAAATGAAGGTTAAAGTGAGGACCTCTCGTCCTCAAGTCCACAACATGCTGGGAGCTGCTATGACATCCCTGTTTGAAAAGATTCTGTAGGAAGTTTTTGAATCCCATTAATTCCCTTGTCTGCCACCAAAATTTGTCCAATGACTGAGGAGGCTAGTGGGGGCAAACAGAAGCAGAAAAATTATTAATTATACTGAATTTTATCTTCCTATTTTTCTCCATCTTTGCCTGATGGGTTGTGATTATAGAGATAGCTAGTAAGCCTCTGCTTTCTTTGGTATTTTGTTTTAGGAGTCACTGTGGATCAGGGAGGGTTACAGTATTATATAACATTTGGAAAATAGTAAAGGGGAATGAGAGGCTGGAAATCACCCCTAATTTTATTATCCTGCCACAAAGCTTTTGTTGCGTTATTTTCTTCTAGTTGTCAACCGTATGTACACCATAGTTATAAAGTGTGTATAGTTTTTTTATGACTTAATATTATAAAATGAGCTCCATAATTATAATTTAAAAATAATATTTGTCTAGTCACATACATTTAAGCTAATTCCCTCCCCCCTCCATCATTATCATAAGTATAGGCAGTCCCCAGGTTAAGAACACGATCCGTTCTTTTCTTTAAGTCCAGTTTGTAGGTAAGTCGGAACAGGGGCATAAAGTTCTTATTTAGCCTTACTTTTTTTTTTTTAATTATACTTTAGATGAAGGTTTACAGAACAGATAGTTTCTCATTAAACAGTTAGTACACATATTGTTTTATGACAGTGGTTAACAACCTCACGACATGTCAACACTGTCCCTTCTCAACCTGGGGTTCCCTATTACCAGCTTTCCTGTTCCCTCCTGCCTTCTAGTCCTTACCCCTGGGCTGGTGTGCCCCTTTAGTCTTGTTTTGTTTTATGGGGCTGTCTAATCTTTGGTATTTAGCCTTACTTCAGTGCAAGAAAAGGCTCAAAGGCTTTTCAGTGATTTAAAAGCTGCACATGCAGCAAGTGAAAGTGATTGTGATGGAGAATTTGTTGTGAGTAGGGGGTTGGTTCAGTTGTTTCAAAGTGCGGGCAAATTTACATAACATTAAAGGGCAAGTACAAGTTCTCCTTAAGTTGGAAGTTCGTAACCCCAGGACTGCCTGTAATAAATAATATTACAGGGAGCATGTTATGCATATGTTCCTACTACCACCACTATCACCTTTTTTTTTTCCTAAGATTAAATTTCAGTGAATGAAATTACCAGGTCTAAGGGTATAAACAAATTTATAGGTCTTCATACATATTGCCAAATTACTTTCAGAGAAATTATATAAATGTAAAAGTATAACCATGTTTTAGAGTAGTATATTCTGAAATATCACTAACCAAAGGAAACCTTGTATCATGAAAAATATTTAGAAAGATACTTCGAAAAAATTGGTCAGAAATGTACAGTTGGAGATTTTCAGCTCCACCTGGTATTTTTCATCAAACCAAGGTTGATACTTGGCCAGTATGCACCAGAACAACCGTTCTGTTATATGTGGCTGACTTCTGTTCTGATTATATTTTATATATTGTTTTATGTTTAGAATATTAATCTTGCATCAAACCCCTTTATTCTACTAACTGCTTATTAACAGCTAACTAGGAGCGATGAAAGCATTCATATTGATTTTTCCCCTACAGGCACGTGATGGTTATGCCACTTACTTGCGATTCATTATTATATCAGCCTTTGATCATTTTGCATCTGTGCATAGCATTTCTGCAGAGGGAATAGCCGTCTCAAATCTCTCTTAGTAATTGTAAGAAAGTGCTCGTGTGTGAATTTTTAGCAATATATTTATTTAAACATGAAGTTGTCATTGAAATACTTTATTAAAGGGATTTGTATCAATCTGTTTCAATTATTTATTTTCTGCTCAGTATTTTATGTAAAGGAACTCTGGTTTCATCAGCCAGCAGGGCTGGCCACCATGGAGGAGATAACGAAGCTCTCACTTCAATACATAACTTAATCAAGGAGGTACTAACATACATGAAATTTAACTGATAATACATTGTATCACCACAGCATCAGATCTCTGTGCATTAATTTTTTAAATTTACTGATAGATTGACAGTAGACAGTATAGAGTTCAGAGAAGAGAAAGTACTTATGAGAAGGTTTTATTGAGGTTATAGAACTTGAACTGGGCCCTGTAGGGCAAGTAGTTTAAATTTCTCTTTTAATTTAATTTTATTCTTATTTGAAAACCTCAGAGAAGAGTTAAGAAACACATAATCTTACTTACCAGAGACAACCATTATTGATATTTTTGGCATATTTCATAAATAATAATGATATCTACCAGTAATTGATCATTTATTATGTGTCAGGAGCCCTGGTGGCACGGTGGTTAAGAGCTTGGCTGCTAACCAACAGGTCAGCAGTTCAAATCCACCAGTTGCCCCTTGGAAACCCTACTCTGTCCTGTAGGGTGGCTTTGAGTCAGAATAGGCTTGACACGAATGGGTTTGGTTTTTGGTTTTATTATGTGTCAAGAACTGTTAGCATTGTGCATGCATATTCTTTATTTGATCCTTACAGCCGCCCCATGTGGTAAAAACTGTTGCTGTTTTCATTTTGCATATGACAAAATTCAGATTTAGAGAAGTTAGGTAACTTGCCCACGGTCACACAGTTACTAGATGGTAGAGCCAGAATTCAAACCCTGTTATGTCTAGCTCCAGAGCCTGACCTCTTACACACCATACTATCTGGTCTTACTTCTTCTATTGCTGTTTATCCTAATATTGGATCCACTAACTGTGTGATCCTCAGCAGGTCACCTTCTTTCTCTGGGCCTCAGTCCCCTCACCATAAAATGAGGAGACTGGACTAAATGATGTTCAAGTTTGCTTACTGATCTAACATCCTGCAGGTTGTGACTTTCCCGTCTTTAGCCCAATTCACAGGGCATTCTTATACTTTTTTCTCTTCCATTCCATTTGAACAGGCTTTACCTTGGCTTGCTTTTATAGGTTAGACAACACCTTCTAGGAATTAAAGTCAATAATCTAAGGCTAACCCTTGCCTTCTGGTATATAACACATATAATCCTGGGTACTTTTTTTTTTTCCTCTAAAATTATATCATTCTCATTTTTCCTGTTAATAAAAATTCTCTATAAATACCTCCTTATTGACGGTACTGTAAAATATCCCATCATGTGATACATCATCACTCACTGACCAATTCTTATAAAATGGAACATTTAGATATTACTGTTTTTTACTGTGGTGCAAACGGTTAAGTGCTCAACTATTAGCCGAAAGGTTGGCAGTTCGAACCCACCCAGAGGCATCTTGGAAGACAGGCCTGGTGATCTTCCAAAAGGTCACAGCCTTGAAAACCCTATGGAGCAGTTCTACTCTCCATACGTGGGGTCATCATGAGTCAGAATTGACTCGATGGCAACTAACAGCAGCAACATGTTTTTACCATTAAAAACAATGGTAAATTCCAATAGCTGATGGGAGTGTGAAATGATATATGCCCCTATCTCTAGAAAAATCACATATTATTTATCATTATTATAATGATATACATGTCATTATTCATTTAATAATGATACATATATCTTTCCTTGACTAGGAATTTATCCCAAAGTTACACAGGCAAAAACATGAAATAATTTACAACGGTATTCCTTACACCATTATTTGTAATAGCAAATATTTCAAACTGTCAAGTGTTTTACAGACAACTAGTTGAATAAACTACCATATAGCCTCACAATAGAACATTAGCAGCCATAAAAAGGAATAAGGAAGCCCTCTATAAACTAATATGGACTGATCTCCAGGATATTGTTAACAACGAAAAAAGCAAAGTGTGGAAACTATGTATAGTCAATTATCTTGTGTAAAATGGGAGGTGGATAAAAATATATATACATATTTTCTTATATTCGCAGAAAGAAATACTAAAAGAATAAATTTTAAAAAAGCTAATACAAATGATTACCTATGGGGGGGAAGGGAACTAGGTAGGACAGATAAAGATAGAAGTAAGACTTCTCTGAATATACCGCATTACGTAGTTTTGACTTTGGAAGCATAAAAAATAAAACAGTCCTTAAAAGTTGAAAACAAACAGAAATGAGTGAAACTAACTTTATCACAAGTTGGTAATATGAAAACACAGAAAAAGATAATTATTTTAAATGACATTAGAACATAGTGTTTTGTCTGTGCAGTCTTAGTGGAATATATTCTTTTTTTATTGTACTTTAGGTGAAGGTTTGCAGAGCCAATAGTTTCTCATTAAACAGTCAGTACACATATTGTTTTATGACATTGTTTAACAATCCCACGACATGTCAACACTCCCTTCTCGACCT